CTCATTGTGAATGCTTGGCTTGCACGGCGTTGACAAAGGGTTCCCGTAGCGTAAACTAACTTACGCAATACGAGAGAACCTCTCGTAAGAGAACGTATCGGTTTCCTAACGCAACCTCGGTTCTCTCTAGAAGAGGGAACGAGTATTGCGTAAGTTAGCTTACGCTACGGGAAAGATTAATCTTTTCGACTTTGTTGGGACAGCATGCTTGCAATGCACGGAGAAAAGCAATTTTTAAGATGAAGAGGCACTCTTTGGTTTTCAACTGCGACATGCTCACTTACAGAATCAGACACTGCTGCAGATCCCATAATGAATTATTATATCGCTTGTTTTTTTTGTTTTTATTCTTTATTTGATTGGGACAGTGCATTTTAATGAACATAACATAGAGTACATGCATGTAAAAAAAATGCCGGATTTTAGCCAAAGGCTAATTTCCATCCATAGTCCCTAGTTTGTTGGTCCGTTGGGTCGGATTGCTTTCTCACCTCAACCGAACTGCCCCAGAGTTTGTTTCAATTGAGCGTGAATGCGTGTTTATATAGGCCTAAACGAACCCAACTAATAAGGCAAAAAACGCACCAGGTTCTGAAACAAATGCTCGAAACGAGCCAGGTGTGAAAGCGTGCTTCGTGGGACTGAAATTTTAATGGAGGACTAATCCTATATTAATAAAGTTTAAAAAAGCACACATGGGTGCACAGGCTATACAGGCCTATACAATCACATCAATTCTTACCCTTCACATTTTTCACTTGCTCATGAATTTATGATGAAAAAGTATTGGATGGAATTATTTCATTAATTACTCACCCTCATGTCGTTCCAAACCCGTAATACTTTCATTCATCTTCGGAACACAAATTAATATCTTTTTGATGAAATTTGAGAGCTTTCTGTCCCTCCATTGGCATACGTAAATACCACTTTGACGCTAAAAGTTCATAAAGAGTTGGAATTGTAAAACCAATCCATATGAGAGATTTAGTCCAAAATTTTGGCTTTTCACACAAACATTGATCAACTCACTCACATATCATTTGTGGTAAACAGAAGCTCAAGCATGTTCTCTTGACGTGTGTAAGGACCACCCATTGGTCCAAAGACGGAATCCAACGGCCTGGGCGAAGGGATAATGCATGTATGTCTTTTCAGCACTCCAGTGAAGTTCACTTAATTTATTAGAATTTAGTTTCAATATTACTTTAGCTCTACGCTTAATCTGACTCCAATTTTGACTGATAATCAACTTTAGATCGTGTTTCTTATTAGAAAATAATCATAAATATTGATTATGATGTAATTTAGATCTTTGATTATTCTGAATATCCCATACTATCAATTATTCATTCATTAAGGGACCCAATGCCGCATAGAGTCACACGCTCCGGGTTTATGTGGATCTCACGGACACAGTCTTGCCAGTCTGATCTTGGTCAGAGGGTGCAGGGTTTGCTAATACCTCTTAAGTCGTTTGCCTACTGCTCACTCATACAAAAAAGTGTAGTTTATTTAGCCACTTCCATACAGCTTGCCAAGTCAGTGATAGACAGAAATCAAAAGGTCTTCAGATGACGTGCCTACTGCTCCGTTCATATGCGCCTTTAGTTTGACCTATCCTGGACACAGAGCTGCGGTAGCACCAGCCTCCTCATAATCTACTAAAATAATGATTTCAGAATACTTCAGAATAAATCAAGATGTAACATTTATTTGTCAGGTAAACATGTATCATGCCAATTACACAAGCAATTAACAGCCAATTCAGAAATAATAAATACATGACATCAATTACTCAAAGATGATTCTAAAAGTAAGCAATGCATTCCTGACAGAGACACACAGTAGTGTGTGAGTGCTTTCCACCGGGAAAACACTGACACAGCACTGTATGGGGGTTTTCCTGGTTACAGGTTCCCAAAGATTGCTCTGTTACCTAGCCTTAAATACCCAGACCAGAAAAAGGGTTGTACCAATATTTTTCCAGTGTGTTTTGGGTCAGTTGCTGTACCCCAGGGGGTAGCACCTGGTCTCGGGGGAGAGGGGAGATGTCTTGAAGAAACATCACCCAAAGAGGAACACAGGATTCTCCTAAGTCCTCAATCTTTCTCATATTACCAATGACTGCAATGAAATTAAGACCATTTTACCAATCGCACAGAGACACTTAAAATGATACCAAACACGAAAAGGAAAAAAAATAGATTCCCAAGATACATCATATGATATATAAGCATTCTTAGTGAACTTTTGGTGACTTGACTCAGGGGGAGAGGGAGAGGGGGATGCAGAGATAAGGTAGGAGAAACGTTTGGACAAGACAATGTCCTGTGCTCTGTCTTTGCGATCTTCTGTCCAGGGTGCGTTTTATTGCTTTATGGTGAGTTTTATCTCAGCTTTTGTCTTAGCAGGAAAATCAGTTCTTACACGTGCGAGAACCAATGAAGTTTATTCTCGTGTTACGCAGTCGTTTGAGCTTCTGCAAGAGGTTTGTTCTCGCGTGTCAAGCAAGTTCAGTTGAGATTTTGTTTGTTGATCAATGTTTATATGTGAATAAAAGCCTGAAGTAAATCTGTTGTTCATATAAAGCGATCGTGTCTCCTCAGAAAATTTGGGCTAAACCGCTCATATGGATTAGTTTTACAATCTCTTTATGAATTTTTTGTAGCTCAAAGTGGACCGAAACTAAAGCTCTCAGATTTCATGAAGATCTTCATTTGTGTTTCGAAGATGAACGAAAGTCTTATGGGTTTGGAACAAAATAAGGGTGATTTATTAATGACAGAATTTTCATTTTTGGGTGAACTATCATGGTTTTGTGCTCGGCACATATTGGTCTATTGATGAGGTGTCCTCATATATTTGGCCATACTATAGTGTTTCACTGAATCTGTATGAATTAATGTACTCATAATGCTGTTTATGTATTCAGTGGTAAACATCAACTTCCAGATAACACATATTTATGCACAAAAGACGACTGGAAATTTACATGATTCTCAAAATGTGAAAAGAGTGACCACAGGTCAGGAAGTTCAGATTTTGAGAACCTTAAAATGTTTAGATGAATTACACAATACAGTCAGGATTCAGACCGCATCATAGCACAGAAACTGCGCTAGTTAAAATTACAAATGATTTACTTTTAGCTTCGGACCAAGCTGTATCTCAATACTAGTTCTACTCGATCTTAGCGCTGCGTTCGACACTATAGATCATAAAATACTCTTGGATCGACTACAAAACTACACTGGTGTTCAGGGACAGGCATTAAGCTGGTTTAGATCGTACTTATCGGACCGTTACCATTTTGTCTGTTTAAATGGGGAAAAATCGAAGATAACGTCAGTAGACTATGGAGTGCCGCAAGGATCGGTGTTAGGCCCTCTGCTATTCTCAATATGTATGCTGCCACTTGGTAATATTATAAGAAAACATGGAATTAATTTCCACTGCTATGCTGATGACACTCAATTACATATTTCATCACGACCAGATGAAAACACTAACTTATCTAAATTGACAGAGTGTCTTAAAGATATAAAATGCTGGATGACGTGTAATTTCCTGCTATTAAATCCAGATAAAACGGAGGTATTACTTATTGGTCCAAAAAACTACCCACAAAATCTCTTACAATACAACTTTAACTTAGAAGGATGTCCTCTTACCTTATCCACTACAGTAAAAGACCTGGGTGTTATACTAGACAGACCGCAACTTGTCTTTCGAAAATCATATTTCATTTGTTACAAGAACTGCCTTTTTCCACCTTAGAAACATTGCTAAATTACGTAACATGCTATCTGTTTCTGATGCAGAAAAGTTAGTTCATGCATTCATGACCTCGAGACTAGATTACTGTAATGCTTTATTAGCTGGTTGTCCTGTATCCTCAATAAACAAGCTACAGTTAGTCCAAAATGCAGCTGCTAGAGTTCTTACTAGGTCAAGAAAATATGATCATATAACACCGATTTTATCATCTCTGCACTGGTTACCTATCAAGTTCCGTATCAATTACAAAGTACTACTACTGACCTATAAAGCCCTAAATGGTTTAGCTCCTGTGTATTTAATGGACCTTCTATCGCCCTACAATCCATCGCGTTCTTTAAGATCACTAAATTCGAGGCTTCTGGTCATTCCTAGGATATCTAAGTCCACTAAAGGAGGGAGGGCGTTCTCACATTTAGCTCCTAAACTCTGGAATAGCCTTCCTGATACTGTTCGTTGCTCAGACTCGCTCTCCCAGTTCAAAACTAGATTAAAGACGCATCTCTTCAGCCAAGCATTCACATAATGCTTACCTTTTATACTGTTGAATCAGATCAAATGCATTAATATTATGAACAGCAGCTACGCTAATTATTTCCCATCTGCTTTTCTGCTGTTATCTCGGGACGCTAGTCCCGAGGTAAATAGCGTTCGTCAGCTCCAGCTTGTATCCAGCCTCTCACGGAGACTTCAGATGCCCCAACACCTGCGATGGGACGACTCGACGCCTGTGAAGAGACGACTCAACGCCAGCGATATGTTATGCCCTAAATTAATACATGATGATTAACTAACTATTTTCTTCTATGTACATTTCTGAAATGCACTTTCTGTAAAGCTGCTTTGAAACAATATGTATTGTGCAAAGCGCTATACAAATAAATTTGAATTGAATTGAATACACAAACAGACATAAATTTTAAAAAGCCATGTAATCCTCAGATTAAGCAGATTTTAAACAAATCAAGTAGCAAAGGCCAGGTAAACATTTACAAAGGTATTACAATATCAAAATGTGTCCAAACTTTTCTTGAAGAGCTGATAATGTCTTAAAATAATTTTTACTTCCTGCTTGACATTTGGCAATGTATAACGTTTACATTTCATACTTTAACAGTCAAATTCTCTCAAAAGTGTGTAAACTCCTTTCTTTGGCAGCTTAGTAAAAGTCTTTGGTATTTCTCCTTCATCCACCCATCCCCCCCGCCCCCCATTTCCAGTCACAAAGTCACTGAACGTCCCAGATCTCACAGAGGAGGGGGGTGAACTTGTGGTCACTCATGCGCCATGACTCTAGCATTTCAGTGTGGTGGTGGTTGAGGGTGCGAAGTTCCGTTAGACGACCGAGAAGCCTTGCGAAGTGCTGGGGCTCCTGAGGATGCTGTAGCTTACAGACCTTCCTCAGCACCTCCAACATGGGATCCTGCAGACGCTCCACTGCCTGCTGGTCTTTTACATATGGCCTGTCTGTGGTTAGATAGAACAGTTACAGTCAAATGGAACACATTTTGTTGTGGCCTTCTAAAGCTTAAAACAATGACAAAAATGTGGTAGCTTCTCTATTGTGACCTTATTAATCATTAACCATTTAACTTATTATTGGAACAGAACAAATGGCATAATTGCTTAAAGCTGCAGTCCGGCATTTTTCCTCTTTGTCGCCATCTCTGTTTGAAATCTGTAATTGCAGTTATTCGCGGAATTATTAACTTTGCGTGAGTTGCACATCGGCATGAAACAGCGCAGATGAACACAATGTTTTGAGACTGCGAGTCTGTCAGTCACCGCGCCGATGTGGAAACTGGCATTCAGAATCACACATTCTACTTTTGGAAGTAGGCCTACAGTATGACCATGACAACATACGAATTTTCATCGGAAAATGTCATCTGAACAAGTAAGTAACATCCACATCAACTAAGGGGGGAAAGCCTTGCAGTAAATCGTGCTGATTAAATATAACGATCGCGTCAAACCTTTCAAATTATACTTTGTTCTCAAATTATCAACATCAGCATTGTGACTACATTTAATGTGTATTATGATTACCCTGTAGTTCAGTTTCTATTTCTGTGCAGTCTAATTTCTAATTGTCATACCAATAAATTAATGTTTCTTTACTGGTTTTCTTTGAGAAAAAAAAACAAAAAAAAAAACACGTATCTGTAATCCGATGCATAATTAAAACTATATATAATTTCGGAGGAGGCCGGTTTGGTTTGCTTGGAGTAGAGGTGAATTGCTCCCTCTCATAGCTAGCTCAAAATATTTACCATAATAGCTAAACGAATAAAGACAGGAAACTCCGTAACTGTGTGAATTAAGCGAACAAGTGTGCTACTGTTACACGATTGAACTATTGAAATGTCTTACCTGTCCTAAAAGAAAAAAAGCCATCTCTGCGTCCGTTTTGAACCGATGTTTATCCTTGTTTTCGCGTGGGCCAGTTGCAGTCTCTTTTTTCTCTAACGTTACCCACTCCGAAGTCCGAATTATTTGGGGTTTTACAAGTGGTGAATGTCCAGTTGTCACTGGTGATTGTCGTTTGAACCTTTCTGGATCCGCCATAAGTTTAATTATTTAATGCTGTGAGAAAAGGCTAAAAATGTCCACCTCCAACATCCTCACGCAATATAGCCGACTAGCCGGGACGCCTTCTTTATGTGTACAGATGTGACGTAATGACGCAAAGACATGCTCGAATTTCCCGCGGAAATCCACCAGTACCACTGGAATTTAAATCATTATTACAAGCTAACCGTTTTGAATCGGGCAAAAGCAAGCAGATATTTTTGAACACTGGCTGGTTATGTTTTTTTTAATTATTATTATTTTGGATAATTTTTAACCCAAAAAAGTTACGGACAGCAGCTTTAATTACATAAGAACCAAAAGTGGGTGTTAGATAGTTTAAACAGTAAGCAATTTCTTTGAAACATTGTTGATGTTTGAAACACACCCCTCCCTTCATTGCTCTGCCCCCAAAATGCACGAACATGCAATGCAAGAGTGGATGTCTCTTTATTATAGCTGAAGAGAAGCAAAATAATGCTTTGCGAAAAATAAAGCAAAGATGACGAACAAAAGACAAGGAAGAACAAAAAATGAACATACAAAAAGTACACAAGTATATACAATCAAGAGTTTGTTGTTATTCGGCAGCAGCACACCAGCTCCAGACAGACAATGACACTAAAAACTGTCCTGTAACTAGCTAACATTACAAAAACAGCATCTTGGTTCAAAATCAACATATCAGAATGATTTCTGAAGGATAATGTGACTGAAGACTGGAGTCATGATGCTGAAAATTCAGCTTTGCAATCACAGGAATAAATTACATTTTTAAAATGTATTAAAATATTTCATAATATTACTGTTTTAACTGTATTTTTGATCAAATAAACAACCTTGGTGAGCATAAGAGACTTTTTTTTTTAAAACAAACAAATCTTACCGTACCCAAACTTTTGCGCAATTGTGTTCTTTTAGTTTGCTCAAATAAGAAATAAAATAAAATAAACGAATTAATCTGCATTCTGCAACTTCTTATTTAGAACATTAAGTGACGGATATCTGCTCACCTGGTGAGAGGATAGTGATAGCAGTAAGTAAAGCATGTTCCTCTTGCATCATCTGCAGCTCCCCAATGCTTTTATAGAAGTTAAACATGGGTGTCATAAACTCTTCAGATATTCCTGAAAAAAATAAAGCAATTCATGAAGATTTACACCAAGCTTTGCAATTATTTTCTAAATCACTCTAAGTCCAGTAATGACAACAAAACAGCAGTCATTTATTACCTCAGCCACCTGTAACCACTCCAAAACATGTTTCTTGGAAGCTATAACTACATTTAAAAATAACCTGCTGAGCCCAATGCGCATATTTACATACTGGCTATGACTAAAGTTAAAAGAAGTCCATGCATTCTTTCCTGGACTAAAGATGACATTAAGTATACTCACGTGGCATTAATCAGACCACACATTTTACAATTGTTTGAGCTTCAATAAATAAATCTGAGTCACACTTTTAGTGTTCAGTTGTAAAACTGTCTTTTTTGAATGTACAATATAGGGATGGGACGGTATGAAAATTTCGATTATCAATATTAACACGGTTTTGTTAAAACGAGATGAGTGTTCAAAAGGAACTGATGCTCACACTAAAAACATTTCAACAAGTTTTATATTTGAAAATCAACAAACAACAAATAAAACAAGCAGCTCTATGCACTTTTTAAAGCAAGATTCTATTCTGTGGCATTTCCTTCCTCATATGACCGTCGTCAATAGCAACGCATTATAACACAGCACACATCCCAACACAATCTCATGAAAGTGCGTATCTATACCACGAATGTTATTTCTCGTGCCGTGCATATGCAACACACTGAAAACCCCTGGCCCTTGGGTAGGATAGGCGTCGGCTCTATTTCTAGCATGCACGCGTTTTGAGACGCGCGTGTCACGCAGGCAGTGTGTCACCGGCCTTACGTCACGCAGCCAGTGTGTCACCGGCAATGTTGTTGTTTTTTTATTCGAGAAGAAATGGAAGGCAGTGACCGTGCTCGGGAGATTTTTCAGCCTTTTAAGAGGACCAAATCTGAGGTGTGGTCATATTTTGGCTTTTACAAAAGTCCAGAGGGGGAACTTAATCGAGGATGGTCACCCTGTCTGCAGAACAATGAGAACATGCACAAAAAAGTCGCTGCAATAGAGAGAAACACTTCAAATCTGTGTGACCATCACCCACTGTTGTTAACGAACACAAGGCAAGTTAACTTTGACCTCAATACCAAAACTACGTCTGGGAAATATTTGGCCACAAAATTTTGTTTTCAGTTGAAATATTTTATCTCACTCACTTCAGTGGCAGTTGAAATCAGCTGCGTAAAACGTAATACACCCCAAGCGTCGGAAGCGAGTAGCCTAGTACAAAAATGGCGGAGATTTTTTTTAACAGATATTACTGTTCTTGTTAATGAACATAAATTTAACATAGTAAATCTGCATCTAACTCAAGATAATACTATACTGTCAACTCACTGTCAAATATGCGTTTCGAGACAAAACATGTAGCCTAATTTTATTATTGCAGATAATTATTATTGCAAACTGTGCTGAAGATACATTCTATCAAAGTTAGGCAACACAAACCTGTTTCAAGACTTGAAACATGCAGAAACTAATTAATTCAGGTTTATTTATCAGTACCAGGCAGCAACGCTAACTTCCGCTGGAATTGTCGGATAGGAACCGTCCGTAGCCTTTCGCAAGAGTTCAATTTTTTTGAACGCATCCGGATGACCAACGGACACGATTTTCTTCGCACCGTACTCGTTCGGACCCGTTTCGGACCCGTTCGCATGCGGTCTGCGAATCTCCATAGGAAATGAATGACTTCCGGTCGTTTCGGAGCCGTATCGGAGCTGATTTCAACTGCCAGTGTGAAGGCGGCGTAAAAGATATATACATTATCGGGAAACCCGGCCCAGACTAGATGCGACTGTCACTTCATGACAGAAGATTGCTTCTTTAATTGTTCATCTAATTGTTTCCTCTAATGTCCATGTAACGCGTTGTCTTTTCATTTTCTTGTTAAATTTGCAGATAACGGTGTTGGCAGTTTACATGTTTTGAGCGCAGTGAAGATTAGCACATCATTGTATTGTATATAAATTAATTGTATATGAATCAATTTTGTTGTAATTTATAGGATACAGTTTGCAAAAGGATGGTTTTAATTAAAATGTTTGTGCAATTTTATTTATTGAAATATTTTCATGTTTTAAATATTAAATGTAAATTACTGTTCCTTAATAAAGTTTGTTAATGCTCTGGGAACCAAAATTGTTAACTGGATATTAACGTTAGAATGTTTGTTCAGGGAACGTTCTGGGAACCTGAAAGTAACGTTCTGGGAACCAAAAATTGTTAACTGGATATTTGACATTTGGGTATAAAGTGTTTTAATTTTACAATATATGGTGTAAACACGTCTGAGTGCTGCCCTCTTCAGGTTGAACGGTGGCTACTGCAGTTGAATTTTCCTATTGGATGTTTGCGGTAGTTCGTGACGGTACCGGTGAGAGCTGAGTCTGACGTAAGCAGGTTTCAGCTTACCACGCCCTTGGTACGAGCTACCACGTCCATGGCAGTATAAAAACCATCTTGTTTCGTGAAAACCACTGTAGCGAGTCAGGAGTTGGAATTGCGAGTATTGAAAACGATCAGGATAGAGTATCCGTTCATCCCCTCTATCTCCACTGGGCTCCGCCCACTTTTCCAGCATTTTTAAAATATTGCCAGTGGGTGGAGTCAGGCTCTGACCGGGGGTTTAGTTACCCTTTAAGACGCAGACGTGACGCAGATGTCACGTAAATCACGTGTGGCAGTGAAGTGTATTGTCAGACGTTTAAGTGTCATTCACGTGTAGCAGTGAAGTTATAAATTGTTTTTTCTCTAACACGGGTTTAACACTCTACTCAGCACAGGTCAGTGCAGTGTGCCAGCGGTTGCGATCGGTTCTTTAAAGGGTTAGTTCACCTAAAAATGAAAATTCTGTCAGTAATTACTCACCCTCATGTTGTTCCAACCCTGTAAAACTTTCGTTCATCTTCGAAACACAAATTAAGATATTTTTGAATAAATCTGAGAGCTGGATCACTCCTCCATAGGCTTCTTAAGGGATCGAAACTGGCTGGCCCAAAAGTTATAAAAGACATCGTCAAAATAGTCCGAGTGACTACAGTGGCTCAATCTTAAGTTTATCAAGCGACGAGAATACTTTTTGTGCGCAAAAAACAAACAAAAATAACGACTTTATTCAACTAATCATTTCTTCCTCTGTGGGCCGTGATATTTCACGTAGTGAAACTACCATAGACAGTATAGGAAACTACGCAAAGCTTCTAGGTTGCACGTCACACGTAGGCTCACTATTTTCCGACACTGGTCATGTTTGTGATGCGTGACATACAACCTAGAAGCTTTGCGCAGTTTCACTACGTGAAGTATCACGGCCGAACAGAGAAGGAAATGATTAGTTGAATAAAGTCGTTATTTTTGTTTGTTTTTTGCGCACAAAAAGTATTCTCGTCGCTTGATAAACTTAAGATTGAGCCACTGTAGTCACTCGGACTATTTTAACGATGTCTTTCATAACTTTTGGGCCGGCCAGTTTCGATCCCTTAAGAAGCCTATGGAGGATTTATCCAGCTCTCAGATTTAATCAAAAATATCTTCATTTGTGTTCCAAAGATGAACGAAAGTCTTAAGGGGTTGGAACAACATGAGGGTGAGTAATTACTGACATAATTTTAATTTTTGGGTGAACTAACCCTTTAATATGACTTTGCAACATGCACTCGTCTCAATGAACGTGACACTTGCGTCTGTCTTATAACGTCACGTCTGCGTCTGTGATTTATATACTGTATAGGATTAAAAAAAAAATAATAATAATTTAAAAGGCCAGCACTTTGGTAAACTAGAAAACAGACAACTCGATCGCACAACCACTGTTTCTGTAGATCCTTTAAATAGAAGAATAGAATTTAAAAATATATATTTTTATAAATAGGCCTATATATTAAACTATTAGGCTATAGGCTACTAAAATGGTTACAAAAACATAATGTCGGATATCCGAAATAATAGGCTACTACAATCTGCAAACACAAGGCTATGAACACAAAACAGTTTAGGACGTCGTTTGTTTGTTTATTTATTTATTTAGCCTATTCAGTTTTTGTAGCAGCAGCATAATAAACAAGACGTGTTTCGTTTGTCACATGCTATTGTTTGGCTATTGTTTTGGGTATGTTCATTTACAAATACTTTTGAGATTAACTAAGGCTTTTACAGGTAATCCATTGTGTACTGCTGTTTGTATTAATTGTTTTGAGAACTGCAGTTACTGGGAGGAATATACTATGGATGATTCGTGAAATGTAACTGAGAAAAACGAAGTAAAGGGTACATTCAGTAATTCAACGTGTCATAAACACTTATAATGCATTCGTTTAAATTTAAAAACATTAACTTTATATTTTAGAACAATTTCAGAACGTATTTATTTGATTTAGTAATGTTCTCATGACAACAAATTAATTGTAGGCTACATGATCCTTGCTTATCCTGCAGGTACTACACTATTTTCCCCTCATCTCCGCAAATGACAACGGACTTAATAAACACGCCTCTGTATAACCTCACGCCTCCATATCAGGATGTAGTTTAAGTGTGATGTTAAAAATCATGGGAGAATTGAAAGAGAAACTCTGGCTCTATGTTAATTCTCTTCCTGCTTTTGACTATTGTGCCAAAATATTTCTGTACCTGTTGATACAAATCTAAATATTTGTATGCACCAGCAAAGATATTTAGACTAAATAATAAAAATAACAATAATAGCCTAATAATAATAAACTGTGCTCGCCTTTCTCTTTTGAGGTGTAACTGTTTTTAATTATAATTCTGTCAGATCGCCTGTGTCAATCAAACTTCGGTGAAACTCTAAAAACCAAATATTACAACTTTAAAATCAAACATTACAAATAACACATTTTATTTGTTAGTTAAATCAGCCCAAATGTTTACAACTAGGCTACGTTATTTTGTGTTGGTCAAGAGACTCCTAGTGGTGAATAGTACAAAGGCCTACTTGCTTTTTATGGTTAATCTTTTTATGA